CGCGTTGTGATTCACGTGGTATATTTGGTTGCTCAAAACCATTACCGAGTGAATGGGAAATTGAAGCCAAAGTGTGCTCCATGGAAATGGAGTTTTGGTGAAAAATCCTTAAAGGTTTGAATAAGGCTTGTCCCACGTTAATTTGGTGAGAAGTTTTGATTGGATTTATAAGGCTTGGGTTTGGTACTTGGGGTGTGCCCCAAGGGGTACCCAAGTGTTTTAGAGGGAGAGGTTATGGGCAAAATGGGCTAGACCCAGTGGACCCAAAAATCACCACGCGCACCACCATCTGTCCGGTCGGGCGGCTTGGGCTTGGGCGCGGGTGCGTAGTGTGAGGTTGGGTTGGGCTTATTCAGCCCAATACTAATCTTTTTGGGCAAAAAATATTTGAATTTAATTTTATTTTTTGGTAAAATAAAATCCAGAATTCAAATTAAACCGGAAATAAATTGGTTTGATTTTATTGTACATTCAAACAAAGCCCTTCTCGGAAATAAACTAGTCTGGTTTTTAACGTACATCCAAATAGGGCCCTTCTCGTTTTTGTATCTGTTTAAATTATGAACCCAACAGATTCAAACCTGTTTGAATTCAAAACCAACAGGTTTCATACCTGTTCAATTCAAAACCAGCAGCCACCTTTATATCTATAAATAGACTAGCCTCCCATTTGGATTAATAAGTTAAAAGGTCAATAAGACAAAATTCTATTCTTCATTTTGCTGCATTTAATTTTTTTCTCTTATGAAAAGAGTGTAAACACTTAGTGTGTTCGTAAGGCAAACAATTTGTAGTGTTGCTATTGTTTGTAGTAGATCATTTCATCCTGAGAGATAGATGTCCGTATTCTGAAAGTACCGTGGAGAGGACGAATCTGTCTTAAGGACATAGTGTCAAGCACTGGACTTGATCAGATTATAATTCGAAGAAATTAAATCAAGTAAGTTATTTAATTTATTTTCAGTGTTATTATTATTTATTTAAATCAGATTTTAATTTTGTTTTTTTAGCAAAATAAAATCTATTTTTATTTATTTATTTTTTATTTCGAGTTTAATTTTTGTAATCAAACAAATTCTCTCATTTCCTTTATTTCTTTATATTCTGATTGTTGTTTAGTACACAATAGAATTTAATTTATTTAAATACAGTGAAGATTGTCCAACATTTGTTACCTACATCACCATTGACGAATGGCATGGGATAGCCTAGCAATGATCTTAAAGGCTCGATGGAGCACTTGTCTCTCTAAAGAAGAGAGAGGAAGAAGAGTTGTTTCATATCTATCGCTGATTTACTACTGACATATGCTGGCACGTATAATTTCTTGAAGCAAAATGTTAATACTATTGAAGGGATGTGAGATAGTCACGAATTGGAATGGCTATAAATTGTTACTAGGCTTGAACTCTGAAGTCTTGGGTTGGGGCATGTTCATTTGGAGGCATATTGGTTTGGAAACTGTAGTTTGCATACTGATTTTTCCCTTCCCCTGCTAACCAATTTATGAATACATAGCTGAAGCGGTGATGTAACCATGGCCTTGTCCGGTTTGTGTGTTAGCAGAATCGATAAAACTGTAAGTTAACTGCCGGGTAGAAATTCAATTGATATCGGAAATTGTGTTTTTCATGTGAATTTATCATTGTCCCTTTGATGGCTTTGTCTATGCTTTGAAATTGTGATTTCTTTGCCAAGAAATTGATTTTTATTGAAATCCATTTTGCAAAAGAATTCTTACTGTATAGTAATGTTTATTCTATTTACAAAAAATGTGAAAACTATAAACAAAATGTTATTTGTTGTCTATTTTTGTTTTCAAAAAATTATAAACCATTTACAAAAAAACGATATTTATATTATTAGCTCTACACATGAAGATTATATATTATTTGTCTGCTATAAAATTGTAGTATTACCCCTCCTTAAATCATGTAGAGCTGCTTATATTTTAAAATTTAGAATGTACTTTATTCTATTCTTTTAATCATTTCTATCCACTCTCAACTAGCAAATCAAGGCAAGAATTGAATCAATTAATCATTTTTTTGGGAGTATTATGGGATTTGTTTAGTTAGTTATTTCTCCCCATTGTAGAGCTCTCTTTTGAGTTAATGATATTAGATTTAGTTGTTTGTTTGTCCCTATTATTGGGTTAATACAATTTGGTTGTTGATTGTAGAGTTTGAAAAATTTAGAAATCTCCTAGATATTGATTTGTGATTATACATTCAATTTTAAGCAGTAAATATCAATCCCAATCAAACAATTAAGACAAATTGACACACCAATTTTAACGTTGAAAAACCACAATTAGAGCGCCTCCAATTGTGATAAAAAAAATCGCAGGCAAAAGTCACAAAACAATCCACTAAGAAGACATAAAGAAATTACACAAATGTACTCTCAATTACCTAGCAAATCCACTCCCGAATTGAACCGACCCCTATATGTCTCTTTCAGCTTCGTCTTCATCCCAGAATTGTCTTGTACAACGTTGAATCCATAATGCTGATGTCGAATCGACGATAATGAGCCATTCTAGAATCCACCAAAGCTTTAGGCCCAAATTCTATGAAATCCACTGAAGAATAATTCTCTTTTTTGTATTGAATAAATAAAACAAACAAACCCTTTGATATAATCCACTCAATTCATGATTAAACTCTCACAGATATCAAAGGAAACAAGCCAAGAAGCTCTAGAAGAAAACCCTAATACCCAAGAACAAGATCTTGAAGTCAAATCGTAAATTTGGGCTGAAACACATATTTATAGAAAACAGATCCGCGATCTCCGCTCGAGCGCAAGAATGGCCGTTCGAGCAGATCTATGCTGGAGCGCAGGAATGGCCGCTCGAGTGCAAAAAAACAACTCTTAGTACTTTTGCAGGCAAGTGAAACTTCTAAAAGGTTGCGAACTCTACTCGAGTGTAGGAATGGCCGCTCGAGCAGACATACAACTTTGACTGCAATTTTGCTTTTGCTTCGAGGGCGTTGCCCCTCGACCCCGCCTAGGCGCTGCCTCGGATCCGTAAGGCACAATTCGGGTTGGATCCCCGACATAGTTAGCGAAGTGGCAAATATGAAAGAATTAACTTCTGAAACTTTTTTGCAAGGCACAATTCGGGTTGGATTCGCATTTAAAACTCAAAGGTTCACTGAAATAAAAGATCGAATAAAATTACAACTGAAAGGAGTTTTGTCAAATGGGATTGCCAAGAATAAAAACTTAACAGATTTTTAAATCATGTTGATATAAATCTCACGATAATTGTATTATTGTAATTTACTAATTGCCAAAAGAAATAAAAAGAATGCATAAAGTTTAATGATAATAAGTTTGTTTGTTTTGGAAGAAAAAAAATTCAATGTTGTGATTGATGTATGCCTCTTCTAGTAGGCCTAACTTGGCCAGTTGATGACCCCTACTATGGGGCATCGAGCCTTATTGTAAATTTTATTTTTTAAGAAATGTTAGAAATTTATAGTTTTAAATTTATAAATTCATCTATAACAATTTACAAATTAAAAATTTATAGTTTTAAATTTATTTAATTGAGTGTATGACAAATTAAAAATTTACACTTATTATACCAAATCATTATGGGTCAACTTAACAAAATTTTATTGGTTTCTGAAATATTTTTTTAATATAATTTTTTTGGGGATAGACCCAGATTTTGATCATTTGGGGGTGGAGAAAGAAGACATTAGGGCAAATTCTAACCGGAAATCTTGTTAAATTTTAATTAAATATTAAGTATAATGATAATATAAAGTGCTGCCATCTCTAACCAATAAGAGTTCTTTATGATGGTTGAGTTGGTGAAATTTTTCATTCCTATTTTGCTATTTTTTTTTGGAAAATCATGAATGAAGTCTTCCAATCTTTATAAAAATGAATACTGAAATTAAAAATATATTTTAAAACATATATGTTAGGAAATTGTTATGATGTGCATCTTAAAAAGGTATATCACAATAATTATAACAAATATTCTAACTGTTATATTTATACTTATGTCCAAAACATAACTATAATATTTATAACAAAACTATAATAGTTCGCAATTATAAATTTATCATTTATAACTTCAGTACAAAACTACATAATATATCACAAAATTTATAATTTTTATTACAAAAATTCGTAACTTTACAAGATAACTTTCTCTTATGTGTTATCATTATTTTTGTATTATTTGTGTTAGCGAAAGACATTATTAGAGAGCCATTAAAGAGACTATTTACATGAGGGTGTGACGCCATGAAAAAAAAAAGAAGAAAAAAGAGTCCTCTTTTACTACGCCACATCCGTACATATAATAAAGAAGTTTGGGCGAATCTAAGGCCATGACACACGTCTTTGTTTTCTTGGAAAAAAATAATGGAAATTAAACATCATTTGAATTTTTATAAAATATTTACATATTGGAAAAAAAAATTAATGAATTTAATTATTAATATTTATAAAATTTGCCATTGATTTGAATATTTTTTTTGAATAAAAATACACGGAGTTGTAATTTTTTTCCAAAAAAGGTATGTGTGCGCTATTAGATGTAAACCAACATTGCTAGTTTAATTATTATAATGTAAAGTTTTATTTATTTATTATTAATTGATTTTGAATTAAATGTTTTGATCTGATCAAAATTTGTGCTTTGGACGAAAGATTATTTTAAAAGGATGGTTAAAAATTAATTTTTTTTATTTTTTTGATTTTTCTTAAAAAATTGTATAAAAAATATGAAAAATAATAGGAGTCAAAATGGATTAAAAAGGTAGAAAACAGGTAACCATCTGCGGAAACCATCTGCCGAACGTAAGTTAAAGTTTCCATCTTACCCAAAAAGAGTTGAAGACAAAACAATTTGTGCTTTGGATGGGACCCACCCAACCAATTGTAAAAATAAAACGGTGCCGTTTTGGCACAGCATGGTGCAAAATCATCACTCTATATATATGAGCTCCTGCACTTCTGCCTCCAGCCCTTTTCTGCACTCTATATAAGATAGAGACCCCTGCCATCTAACAGATCCAACCATTCAAGAATAAAACACGACGGATGTCGTCTGGGAGGGAGAGAGATTGTGTTAGGTAATTCGTTTCATCCTCTTCCTATCTTGTCTACTTGCTATTTTTTCTTTGTGTATCATTTTCCTTTTTCTTATAACCAACTAATTCCTTATTTTGATGTAGATCTCTCTCTCTGTGTTACTATTGTCAAATCAATGGCAACAACAACAACAAGAAGAACACCTCAGCAAGGCACGCAGACAAACTTGTTTGGACAGATCAATGACTCATTTCTCAGCATTACAACACACTCCTACTACAACTTGTCGCAACAAGAGAGTACCCCCTCTTCTGCTTCCTGGCACGCCGTTTTGGCCTTTATTGTCCCAGTGTTCCTCACCCTTTTGCGAATCAAGTATGATGGGAAGGACATATCCGCATTCGACACGTACCCCAAATCTTTGGGTGTTTCCATTGCTAGTTTGCTTCTCTATTGCTCCGCTTACTATGCCGAGCTGAAGTCTTCTTCTTATGAAGATCACCGCCGCTTGCAAACTCATGCTCGCCATGGGGCAGTGGTGTTTGGTTGGCTTGGTTTGGTGTCTCTGACTTCAATTCTTTTGCCAGACTCAGTTGGGCCTCTTCTCTACTTTCTTTATATATTGTTCTTGGCAGGTGAGTTTCTGTGCCGCCCGCTTCAGATGCTGTGGAATTGGCTCCATCATATAGTCATGGGCAAAGTTCCAGTAATGCCTCCAAGTTGGCTCACTACTGCTCATGCCTTTTCTAACTCAAGAGGAAACAATCTACGGAGAAATACCTTATCAGTATAATCAGCAATCAATCGACCTTTTTTGTTTGGGTCAAATAATTGTCTGTAATAAAGTTATATCAGGAATGTTTTCTTTGTTTTTCTTCTCTTGTTTGTTTGTCCTCGTAATATTTCCATATTCATGTGAGTATAAGAAACAAAAAAGGTTTTGCTGTATCAATTAAGTTTCTTAATTCCCTCAATTCTGTTTGGTACTAATGAGGCACAACACCATTCAAAAACCATCAATTTACAAACAAAAATGCACAGGAACCAGTTGCTTGGTCCAAATATTCAACAAGTGATCCTTACCACATATTAGTCCCTACAACAATGATTCATCCCACTAAAAATATCACCATTAATAGCACTAATGCATTAAAAAAGTTAAAAAAAAAAAATACAACTCCAAGACCAAAACATCACATCATTAATGGCGGGACCCACTGCCACCTAATTAGTGGGAGCACTAATTAGTGCTCCCAAACATTTTTCTTAGTCCCTATTTGTATTGATATCGGTTCGAAAAATGCGAGAAAATGAATCTTGTACAACTAAAATATTTTGGATGTAATCCATGTCACATTAAATTTAAATGTCTATATTATAATTTTATTTTTCATTTCATATAACTTTTGAGACTAATTTTTTTTTTTTATTAAAAAAATTTAATGAACATATTTCGATTTAATAACATCACTATGACTCTGGCATGGGCTTTTAGAAGCCAGCTGGTTTGGTTTCCAAGCTTTTTTGCCTTTAAATGAAATCTTTTGTATTAGAAGTCTTGAGGCAGTGTTTGAGGGGAGATTTGGAGAGAAATTTGATAAAAAAAAAGAAAAAAGAAAAAAAATGTATGAAATTAGATGAAATCATATATATATTATTAAAAGTAATGTTTTTTTCATACTTAAGTGACACATTATAAAGGCTTATTTTTTTCTAAGAAAGTCACGTCAACATGTATTTTCTTAATCACATATAGAGTTCTATACAAATCCAAACATAATTTAAATTATATTAATTTTACCTATTTTATATGGACTCTATTTGATAAATATTTTTCATAGTAAATTGAGATAATCCACAAATCCAATACCAATTTTGTGTTTCACATTTTTCTTAATTTTTTCAAGGGTATTAGGATTTTTTTTTTCCATATATTATTTTATACTCAATATCAATTCTATATTATTTACAGAATGAAACTGAACGCTTCCAAGTGTGCATTCGGAATCGGCTCTGGCAAATTCCTGGGTTACAGCGTCAATCACCAAGGAATCGAAGCCAACCCGAGGCAAGTCACAGCAATCTTGGAACTCGGCTCCCCCCGTTCAGTAAAAGAAGTCCAAAAGTTGATGGGGATGGCCGCTGCACTCAACAGGTTCATCAGTCGGTCTACAGATCGCTGTCGACAATTTTTTCAAACACTACGGCAGGGTAAGGCTTTTGAATGGTCCGCTGAATGCGAGACAACTTTTAACGGACTCAAGACCTACCTCCACTCAGTACCTCTCTTGACAACACCCGCCGCTGGTGACCCGCTCATTTTATATCTGGCAGTTTTCGATAGGGCCCTCAACGCCATACTGCTAAAAGCGGTTGACGCCGAAACATGCTACATTCCGCTGGAAAAACTCATCTTAGCCCTAGTCACGGCAGCAAGAAAACTGATGCATTACTTCCAGGGACATAACATTGGGGTGCTAACAAATTATCCCCTCCGATCAGTACTATGGAGTGAAGAAGCATCAGGACGTGTTTCAAAACGGGCTCTTGAATTCGGCCAATACGACATTCAGTTTTTACCTAAAACCGCAATTAAGGGGCAGGTCTTGGCCAACTTTGTTGCCGAATTCCCCGGCGAGCTTGCCAACTTCAAACCTGACGAAGTTCGACCAAAGGCTGATGGATCGTCTAACCAAAGGGGCAGTGGTGTCGGAGTTGTAATCATGTCTCCAAACGGTGCAGTAATTGAGCTGGCTGTTAAGCTTGGCTTCGAAGCATCAAATAACGAAGCCGAATACGAAGCCCTTCTAGCCGGTCTGCGGAATGTGCACCTTCTCGATGCTCGATGTCTGCTTGTGTTTTGTGATGCAAAATTGGTAATCAGTCAGCTAAAGGGGGAGTACGCGGCAAGAAACGACCGTATGGCGGCCTACATGAAAACAACCAATTCCTTGCTGGCAAAATTTGACCATCACGAACTGAACCAAGTAACATGCGACCAAAACACACACGCAGATGCCTTGGCATGCCTACCCTCCGCCATCAATTCTGAGATCAAATGGACTATCGAAGTAGGCTTCATCCCGGAGCCGAGTATTGGCCCTTCGAAGGAAATCCATGTCCACGTTATAGAATCTGCACCAAGCTGGATGGACCCCATTGCTACATTCCACTCTTCTGAATAACTCCCAGAGGACAAAAAAGAAGCACACAAGTTACAGAATAAAGCCCTGCGATACTATCTGGATCCCCAAGGAGGACTTTATAAAAAATTCCCTCTCTGGTCCATATTTGGAATGCGTGCACCCCGACAAAGTGGAGGAGCTTCTAACAGAGATACATGAGGGCAGTTGTGGTGCCCATTCTGGCGAATGCTCCCAGGCCCATCGAGCAATAACACAGGGGTATTATTGGCTGACAATGAGAGTTGACGCGGAGAGTTATGTAAAATTAAGTCTCCGGAGAGTTATTATTATCCACCGTTGCAATACAAAGCTTCTCGTTATCTCAAGCTCGCTCCCAAGCCTTTAAGGGCCGATTAAGCCTTCTAAGGCCAAAGTAAGTCTTCGGATTCAGAGCCCCTTTCGGTGCATGACACCTTAGGGCCGATTAAGTCTCCGAATTCGGAGCGCCCTTCGTGGATATCATGATTGGCCAAATTAAGTCTCCAGATTCGGAGCCCCTTTTGGTGCATGACACCTTAGGGCCGATTAAATCTCTGGATTCGGAGCGCCCTTTGTGGATATCACGATTGGCCAATTAAAGTCTCCGGATTCGAAGCCCCTTTCGGTGCATGACACCTTAGGGCCGATTAAGTCTCCAGATTCGAAGTGCCTTTCGTGGATATCACAATTGGCCAAATTAAGTCTCCGGATTCGGAACGCCCTTCGTGGATATCACGATTGGCCAATTAAAGTCTCTGGATTCGGAGCCCTTTTCAGTGCATGACACCTTAGGGCCGATTAAGTCTCCAAATTCGGAGCGCCCTTCATGGATATCACGATTGGCCAAATCAAGTCTTTGGATTCGAAGCCCATTTTCGTGCATAACACCTTAGGGCTGATTAAGTCTTCAGATTTGGAGCGCCCTTCGTGGATATCATGATTGGCCAATTAAAGTCTCCAGATTCAGAGCCCCTTTCGGTGCATGACACCTTAGGGCGGATTAAGTTTTTGGATTTGGAGCGCCCTTCATGGATATCATGATTGGCCAAATTAAGTCTCCAGATTTGGAGCCCCTTTTGGTGCATGACAACTTAGGGCCGATTAAGTCTCCAGATTCGGAGCGCCCTTCGTGGATATCACGATTGGCCAAATTAAGTCTCCGGATTCGGAGCCCCTTTTGGTGCATGACACCTTAGGGCCGATTAAATCTCTGGATTCGGAGCGCCCTTTGTGGATATCACGATTGGCCAAATCAAGTCTTTGGATTCGAAGCCCATTTTCGTGCATAACACCTTAGGGCTGATTAAGTCTTCAGATTTGGAGCGCCCTTCGTGGATATCATGATTGGCCAAATTAAGTCGGAATAGGGTAAGTAGTGACGATGATACAGGGGCGAAGCCGAATCAATGCCCATGGCTTCGAGAGCTTTCTCAGTTTGAAGGGTCTTGATCCAGCAGTGCTTGAATCCCCGATTTTCACATCGGCAGACCTTCTCGGCAAGGTCTCGTTTGGTCTTCTCTATCCCGACCTTCAGGCCGTCTTGAAATCCCTTTTCATAACCTAAGGTCCGTTGGGTCACTCTCTCCTCAACGACCAATTTAGATTGACCGGCCGCCACCGACGCGCTCATTTGAACATTCTTCAGCTCCCGAAGCTCACGCTCAGCCTTTTCCGTGCAAATCTCCAGACTGCGATTCCTTTCGTCCTTTTTCTCACTCTCACGTCGCACTTTCCACAGACGCATGCCGACTTCATAAGCAATATATAGTCCTTTCACGGCCCCATGTATGCCGTCTCGAAATACTTTGAAATCTTGACGTTCGACCATCGATTGTTGGACTTCCGGCGGGAAGATCTGTCGAGCGAACTCGACTACCACACCTAGGTCTTTAATGATAGAATCCGCCTCCGTCATTGGTCTATTCCTCACAAAAACCGCAAAACTCAACAGTCGTGGCGTCGCATTGGGCTCAATTCTCGGTCGCGGGCGCGGAGAATTTCCCCGTTGTTCCTGTCCTTTCGGGGCGATCTACTTCGACGACTAAGGGGCTGCTGTGTTTCCTGATCCTTGGACGTCCTTCTTCCCGTACGCACAGGCTTGCTACTGCGACTCATTGCCACGTCTAATCCAGCTAATCTTCGTCCCACCCAAGTTTCCTGAATAGAAATAAGTAGGGCCCCTGGCGTGCACCTGCCCCATTTATCCTTCAATGTATGCAGCTCTCCCGAGGCAACGTCAGTAATCCCAAACATCCAAAGACGGATGACAACTGTCCAGCCCACGAGTTAGGCCCATTCGGCTTCGCAAGCTCGCGCCCTGGCTAAGGCAAGGGCAGATTTACTAAGTTGGTCGGCTATGTTTTCAAGTGCAAGCACCGATCAGTCTGTGCCTCAACCAGCCCACGAGTTAGGCCCTTTCAGCTTCCCAAGCTTGCACCCTTGCTAAGGGCAGATTTGCTAATCTGGTCGGCCATGTTTTCAAGCACAAGCACCGATCAATCTGTGCCTCAGCCAGCCCACGAGGTTGGCCCATTCGGCTTCCCAAGCTCGCGCCCTGGCTAAGGCAAGGGCAGATTTACTAATCTGGTCGGCCATGTTTTCAAGCGAAGTGCCGATCAATCTGTGCCTCAGCCAGCCCACGAGTTAGGCCCATTCGGCTTCGCAGGCTCGCGCCCTGGCTAAGGCAATGGCAGATTTACTAATCTGGTCAGCCATGTTTTCAAGCGCAAGCGCCGATCAATCTATGCCTCAGCCAGCCCATGAGTTAGGCTCATTCGGCTTCGCAAGCTCGCGCCGTGGCTAAGGCAAGGGCAGATTTACTAATCTGGTCGACCATGTTTTCAAGCGCAAGCACCAATCAATTTGTGCCTCAGCTAGCCCACGAGTTAGGCCCATTCGGCTTCGCAAGCTCGCACCCTGGCTATGGTAATGGCAAATTTACTAATCTGGTCGGCCAAATGGCTAAGCTAAGCACCTGATCTAACCATAACCGAAAGCAATATCATTCATCAACAATATTTTCCTTAGCAAGTTGAGCACAACTCTTGAAATTTTATATACGCAAATTACTAAAGATTTACTAATCTGGTCGGCCAAATACCTAAGCTAAGCACCCGATCTAACCATAACCAAAAGCAATATCATTCATCAACAACATTTTCCTTAGCAAGTTGAGCAGAACTCATGAAATTTTATATATGCAAATTACTAAACAAAAAGCTACAAGCCCGCACGGTTGGAATCAGGAAGAAGATCAATGAGAACACATATGGCACCGGCTTCGATTGCTTTTAGTCTGCTTTTTTTGGATGAACTCAGAATCTCTATAAGAACTTGTAAAGAACATGAACTTGCTTTTGTGCATATCTCATCTGAAGCAAGCTCTAACATGGATTTAAACAAATCCATGCCTTGATCTTTCAAAACAAAGCTCCAATTATAATCGGTTTTCGCCATCTTTTGGAATATCGAAATGGCGTAAAACCTAGCCTCTGCACTTCCTCTCTGAAGCATGATGGCCATTGATTTCACTGATTCCGGCTTTGACAACATCTGAATTGTCTTTGTTTCATCTTCTTCTGATAATAAGAGATGATGCAAAACACCTAGAGCTTCCTCAGAAGCTCTAAAAGCGATAAAATCTGAGGTTTCTGACAGAATTTGAATTACAATCCTAACAAGCAATTCAACCCCTCCTGATTTCTTAACATGATCATGCATTTCATCGTCAGTTTCAACGATGGATCGGAGTTTCTTGAGAGAACTCACCTTGAATGGTGTCGACTCGATAGTGTTGAGGAGAGATACTAGCTCGTCGTGCTTGGGTGATGGTAGTGGTGAAGAAGAAGATTGAGAGAGGCTATTTTGCCATGCTAGGATGAGCCTCTTGAGAGTATGGTTTGGTGTGGTATCAAAATTATGAATGACTTGCATTGTGGTTGGGCATGTCGTCTTCTTGTAGGTAAAGAACCATTTTTCAATGTTCTTTCTCTCATATGTGAAGCCTGTTGAGATTGTCACAGGTTCTTTCATGATCTCCATTGAAATGGGACACCTGAAATCTTGAGGGAAATCCATGGTTTGATGTGGGTTGTTCTTTTCCTTCTTCTCCATTGTAGATGAAGACGGTGGGGAGTTGGGTAAACAAATTTATGTTGTGTGTATGTAATTTATAAAGAAATGTGTGAAAGTCTAAAGATGGAAAAATTCAAAGTCAAAACTGATTAGATGCTTTTGCAAGCTGTGTGTGTAAACATGAAAGCAACTTGGATGATCATTGGAACTCTTGAATGTCTTTGATTTTAACGGTTTTATATTCAACATACTTTTGTTGCCATCATGTTATGTACTATATCTTTTTTTAACCCATGTTTTTATGTAAGTTTTCATATACACCATCCACCATGTTAGATAATGTCCAAGTGTTCATTTGGCATTATTTTGATATTATTCTCGGCAAATTAAAAATTACAATACATATTTAATAAGTAATTATTCATCTCTCAATTACCTAACAAATCTTACTCAACATATCTCTTTTGTGAAATTTATCTGGATAAATTATCGTTTTATCTCATAAAGTTTGTCTCATCTCTCACTTTGGTTAATAAAGGATTATCTCACATTGGTCCCTAAACTATTTATCATTGCTTACTTTAATCTAATTATCAACTTATGCTACGGTTTAGAGGCAATTTAAAAACTTTAATAATTAAATTTATCAATTTTGCCCATAAAAAATATTTATTTTCTCACTTTAGTTCTTGAATAAATTAAGTTTTGTCCACTTTTGCCATAAGTCCAAACCCAACCTAAACTCAAAATCATCTCCACTTATTCAAAAAAAATTAAAAATTATAGAGGATATATCATTTGAAAAAGAAATAATTCGCTAATCAAAGTCTAAATGCTACTGAAGAAGATCACATAGTGGGTTGGGAGAAAGAAGTGGTTAGTTGTGAGGAAAATGAGGTGATCATTTGTGAAAAAGCAGTAAAAAGGGTAATTAAAAGAGAGAAGATAATGGGAGAGGAAGGGAAAATGACGAGGGACTGAAAGTTCAAATGTTGTGAGACAACGTTTCAGTAAATAATAGGGTAAATTATGATGGTAGTTTTTGTATTCTGATTTTTGTGTCATGCTAGTCCTTATAATTTCAATTGGTTTAATTTTAATATTGAATTTATGATTTTGTCTCAATTTGATTCAATTGATTATAACTTTTAATAATTTTGTATGAAAATACGCATATAAGTAGCATGTGTCATATTTTTAGCAGCAAAATTAAAACTTACTCAACTCAGTGAATTAATCTTAACCAATTTAGTGATAATTTTTCATAAAAAACACAATCGACATTATTAATTGGACCAAATTGACAAAAAAATCTTAAATTAATGGTCAAATTTGAATCAATTGAAAGTACAAAGATCAAAGTGACATGAGAAGTAGAGACCACTGGTGTAATTTATCCTAAATAATATGATATGATTGTGAGATATATATACATATATATATATATATATATATTTAGTTAATTCTTTTGGGGAGTAAAGTGGGAATATCTTCTTCTTTAAGAACCAAATTGGAAAAAGGCTCATGCTTTTACACTATGTTTGGATTGAGTGATCTGGAGAGAAAAGAAAAGAAATGGAGAGATATGTATTTTTCTTTCTTGTTTGGATAACTTAAATAGAGAGAAATGAGAAGAAATAGAGAAAAACTGAGAGAACCCATTTATCTTATAACTCTCATTTTTAATCTTCCCAAAAGTGGAGAGATTGAGAGAAAAAAGAAAACAATAGATTCTTATGTTTTCATAATATCAATTTTGTCCCTGTAAAAATAAAATAAATAAAATGATTGACACCCATATCCTCAAGGGCTTTTCATATACAACAAAAGGTTATTTTGGTAATATAACATTAAAATATTTATTTTATTTTCTCTTATGGAATCTAACCAAACAAGAAGGAGATAAATTATAATCATTTCTTCTTTTTTTTTTTTTTTCTTACTTATCTATATAAGAATGAGAGAAATCACATTCATTTTTTTTTTCTTTTCTCTTATAACTTAAGTAATCATTTTTTTTCTTTTCTTTCCTAAGTTCCCAAACATAGTGTTAGGGACAAATGGAATCAAATCAGGCTTTGTTTCTGATTCTACAGTTGGTCTTTGCCTTTTGATCCTCCTACTCTTCTCTGCTGGTCTTTGTTCTGTTCTGTCTAGGTGTATTCATCATCAGTGGTCCTCTGCTTCAGAGCTCTGTTTGCTGATCGTTTGTTGTGAAGTGAACGGAAACCAGTTGATATTCTGATTAGAAATTACAGATATTCATTTGCATTTGAAGGGAGATCATGGTTTCTGTAGGGGATGGGTGTTTTTTTGGTGGAATGCAACTGCTATAGTGTGACTGCAACTGGTTTTTGGTGGTCTGCTGCTAGGTAGCTCTTCTATTGGTCTGCAACTGATCTGGTCTCCTGTGTTGGTCTGGTACTGCTGTGTTTGGACTGGCTACTGCTGTGTTAGGAGTTCATGCTGGATGCTTGATTGGGCTGTGTGCTGTTATGCTTGTTTGATGGCTGAATGTGTTGAATGTCAATGTGTTAGGTGGTTGTTAGCGATGAATGTCTGTGTGCTGTTATGTTGTTGGAGTTGCCTCAGCTGCTTCTATCTGATATTTTGTTCTCTTTTTCTCTGTCTGCTGTTGTTTTTTTTTTATCGGCAAAAAAAATCTTTATTGATGAAACATACAAAGTATGATTAGATACATCAATAAAGAGGAGCTTAGAGCTAACACGAAACTCCAAGCGCCAGTTGGTGAGAAACCAACGAAAAGAAAAACAAAAGTTGCTGCCAAAGAACCAAAAAAACACATTGACATTCATCCCATTGAAGCATCCACAGACTCCAGTTTTTGTACCACCCATACCATGACTGGACTAGCAAAAGTTGTGGCAGCACTTTTTGCTTTCCTTTTTGTTGGTTCCTCACCAACAGGCGCTTGGAGCTTCGTTTTAGCTCCAAACTCCTCTTTATTGATGTAACTTATCATATTTTGTATGTTTTCATCAATAAAGATTTATTTACTGATAAAAAAAAAAGTGTTAGAGACAAAGTGTAATTTATTATATTTTTGTTATAAAAATATAGTGGTCATGAGAATTTGGATCGAAGTGTAAATAATATAATAGCATAGGGATTAAAATGAGAAAAAAAAATTTAAAGACCAAATCAATAAAATGGGTCATACTTTAGAGGCAAAAATATAATTTACTCAATCTTCACTGGGTCATTACTTTGGAGTGCAACATAAATAATATAACATAATATTCTAAAACTACAAAATAATTCCCTCAAATAGTGTAATGGGAATCGTTTTTCATTCATGAAAAATGAAAAAAGAAAAAAGAAAAAAGAAAAAAAAGACATAATTATAAATAGAAGGAAAAAAAAAAAATTAAGTATACATTTAACCTTTGACGTGCACAAAATGATTGTCCCAAAATTTAAACCCATAACTTATAAATTAAGACCAAAATTTTATTATTGAACCATAATCATCCCCTCAATTGTTAATTCAATGTGATATAAGTAAAATGTAAATACAAAAATAATAGATTCTACTGTATAAATTAGTTACATTTAAGATGAGCACACGTCATCACGACAAGCAACCAAAAACTTCTCATCAGAATGACACTATTCTCACATTATTTACACAATTACCTATACAAATCAATGCCTTTAACAAATATCCAAGCCCACTCTTGAAGCAATTTAGGGTTGACACATCAAAAATATGCATTTAGTTAGGGACATTGTATAAATAACCCAAACCTTGGGGAAAACTTTATATAACCTGAAAATGTGGCGTACCGTTTGAGGGGTTGACTTTAAGATATCTGATAGATAAGACTTCAAATTCATATTTAAAAGACTTCAAATTCATATTTAAACTTATAATTAAAGTATTGATTTCAACAGTTTTTATGCATACTATTCAAACATAGATTTTTGATGTTATACGTTTTTTAAGGGGTGGGTTTGTCACAAATTTAAATTTGAATTTGAAGTCTATTATAAATCTTCTTTTTCATGATCTCAATTATTTAATTTATAAAAAATTTCACATATTGTTTAATAAAAAAAAAAAATTTAAGTCAATCAAAAAATTATAACATTTCTATTTTACCGTCTTTAAAAAAGGAAATCAGGTTTTATTCAATTCTTACTCGATTCATATGGCCCACGAAGGTCCCACATGATGACTTGAATAATTTATTTTTAGAGCACAATACGTAGATTATTTATGAAAAAAATTAGTTGATCGATAACTGTAGTCATGTTAGTTTATTGCATTTATTTTTCAAAAAATAAATGGTCTAAATTTCAAATAATATTTATCATTTACTTTTTACAAATAAATGTCTTAAACTATATGATTATGGGGGCAGCTCGTCTCCAGTTCACAAAGTGGATTAGACAGTATTGTTGGGCCTGTGGAGCTCATCACAGATCCTGTTTCAATAATCCGAATCATTCAATATGTAGAGCTCGTCGAGTACTTTATCCTTATAAAAATTATGTTGATTGAATATCGATAGCTACTTGATCGGATCATATTTTTGTCAAAAATTTATTTTGAAAATTATATTTGCCATTGACAGAAATCTGATTCGATCAAGTAGTTAGCTATATCTGATCAACATAATTTTTTAAAAGGATAAAGTAATCGACAATTTTTACATATTGAACAGTTTGAATTATCGAAATAAGACCCATTGTGAGCCCGCAAGGGCCCAACAACACGATCCAGTCTGCTCACAGATTGGAGAGAAGCCTAGCCCATGATTCTGATTATCACATCAACCTGATTTCTTACATAGTTAATCTATATATTGTCGTCTAAAAAATAAACGATTTAAATTATCGAGATGGAACTTATGATAAGGCCTATGAACCCTGACAGCAAAGTCCAATCTACTTTATGGATTGGAGAAAATATATCTTAAAAAAATGGATGATATTTTTTGCAAAATACACTCGCCATTCAATTTTTCAGACACAAATATGACAAAATAAAAATGTTACAATTATCAGATCAATTTAATATACATTTTTTTATAAATAATATACACAAAATATTTTACAAAATGAACAATTTAAATGATCAAAACACAACGTATAATCAACCTCACAGCAAGGCCCTTAACAATTTTAAATTTAAAGTTGAAAGAAATAAACCATTTCTAAGTAATTGTTTTTTCAACAGTTTATTATACAATACATCACAATATTCAAACATAGCTTACACAAAACCGGCGGTGACTGCGAGGCTTTACATGTTCTCATTTGACATTAACTTCCTTAGTCGGTTGAGCTGCCTCCATGACTCTCTCTCTCTCTCTCTCTCTCTCTCTCTCGTTGAGAATTCACGTCATGGTTTGATCATGATAGTTTGGCACAATAAATAAATTTTAAAAATGAAATAATATTTTAGAGTTTAATGACTACACAATTAGTAATCAACCGTAGTGAGTTGACAAAAGTAAAAGATTTGTTGATATAAAATGGATAGTATATTGTATATAAAATTTCCATCTTGCAAAATCGCCACCACCCTTGATTAATTATGAATATGTAACAATATTTTAAATAAATAAGTCGGCATTAGTCGTGTACCGGTATTGATAATATTAAATGATGTGTATCGAAAAATAAGTGTAGAGACGGTGATTTTTAAAAAATCATCAATTATAAAAAATAATTACTAAACTAGCTGTAATAACTATAAATCTCGCTGATACGATTACCTGTCATATGCTATCCTAAGAAATATGAGTTTGGGGTGCCAAATGTGCCCCAAGCACAACAATGGTCTTGTTTGAAAAGTTGGTTATTTTAGTTGATTTTTTAATTTTTTTTTTGTTTATTTTAGTCTAGTTTAAAAAGTTATTTTTGACAGATTGTTGATTTTTTTCGTAATTAATTTGATAGTAGTAAGAAAATAATAATAATAATTATGAGTTGAATATAACATTTTATTTTATTAACTATTTTATTATATTTTATCTTTATTAATTATTTTAGCCTAAATAATCATTCCCACACCAATATATAGCTGTGAGTTTAGGTAGGCCTGCGTTGGATCCATTGAGATGATTTAAAAAGGTTAATCTTTTAGGATCTGTCAAGTAGTTCAATCCTCTACTTGCTTCAACTTAGTATTCACATTACCAAAAACTTCACAATTCCACTGTTTAAGTGCTATTTTCAACCCTTTCAGCTTCTGAAATAATCTAAAGCCAGCCCAACCCTCCACCTGCTGCTCCCTCCACCACTTTTCCACAAAGGGTAGGAAATTAGTATGTAGAGTCCATGCATTTATAAACCTAAAGGGTCTAGGGCCCCAATCTCTCTCATCTTCCATTAAAAGTAAAGGGCTATGATCAAACATGACTCTAGGTAACCCCCATAACTTCAGATTGAAAGATTCCAGCCATTTTGGATCCACTAAAACCCTATCAATTCTGCTTCATTTCTCCCCTTCCCTGGCATTACACCATGTATACCTTCTACCCAATAAGGGCAAGTCATTCACCTCACTTTTATCAATAAAATCATTCAATTCCTTCATACCCCTCTCCCTTCTAGAACAACCTTTCCTCTCACCAATATTTGTAATTTCATTAAAGTCCCCCCCTATACACCAGGGATTAGAAAACTCCTCCTTTAGATTCAAAAGGCACTCCCACAGCTTCCCTCTTTGACCCACTTCATTAGGAGCATACAGATTAATTAAGACGCATTCAAAGGAGAAGAATAAAGTACCTGAGAGAAGAATGAATCTTCTATTACAACAGCAGCTTAATACCTGAAACACACCTGGATCCCATATGCATAATAGGCCACCTGTAGATCCTTCAGCATCCACAGTCATGAATTCCAACCTATCCCTAGCCCAGAGTTCCTTAATCTCCTTTTCTGACAAAGATGCCTTCTTTGTTTCCTGGAATAGAGCAATATCAACTCCTCTAGCTTTCAAGATACACTTAATTTTATTCCTTTTTTCCTTTCTTCCCAAACCCCTTACATTCCATGTTAGTATCTTCATCATTTAACAAGAACACTTACCTCTGACCCCCAGATGCCGCACTTTAACCTGCAGCACCGAACTCCCCTCCCATTCTTTCTCTATCCTTTGCCTCAAGATCTATAATTCTGGACAATACAACCTCTTCATTACCTTTGTAGTTAATTCCCAGCAATTTCCCCATTTGAAGAGTTTCAGTAGCCTCTTTAAGCAAAGTTCTGTTTCTGGCCACTCCACTAACATTTGATGCAGAACCAGATGCTGCCATGGCTGCTGCTCTCCAAATTGCCCCTTTTGGACCCAATTTACTTGATGAAACTCCTTTATGACCGTATCTTTTTGCAAGCTCATTCTTCATTTGTTTAATCTTCTTCCCACTAGAGTGTTTAACTACTCTTTTCCCCCATTTCTTCCTCTGAAACTCTGAATGTAAGTGTGCTGTGACATTCTGGGTCGGTGAGATATCTGAACATATTATTAAAGGGCCCACTGCATGTTGAAGCCCACTCTGAAAACCAGACTTCAGGCCTTGGGCTTGCACCTCCACTCCTTTTCTCGTATTTTCGAGCCCATTTCTTGAGGCCATCTCATTACCCAGACCCAACTCCACCTCTAAATTCACCCCAGGTTTAAGTAGGCTAGAACCACTTAAACTTCTGACAACACCATGCGTGACAACTTGCTCAAGACTTTTCTGACCTACCCCTTCACAGCCGTTGCCTATGTTTCCAGCTGCCTTCATCATGCTTCCTGATTTCCCCTCGAGCACATTTTTCGCCGATTCTGCCACCACTGTTTCAGAACACCCAGGTAGCTCCATATCCACCGCATCACTGCTCCTTACTTGACATGACCCGTCCCTTTGAAACACTTCATTAGCCTGGTCAAGCTTCTGTGTTGACTCATCAGCCCCGTCATCATCTTCTACAGCCTCGTCACTTACAGTTACCATCACCCCAACCTTCTCACCATTGTTTGAGCTACAGACCTCTTCCCCACCAAACTTCTTAGAGCAATCGCAGCTTAGTGCCGTGATATTTGGTAACCCAGATTGAAGTTCCCACACTCTTACAGACTGGAAAGAACCTTTGCATTCCAGGTTAATGGCTTTATTTATTGGCTCCATACACCTGGTAGGAGGACGAGGACGAGGACGCGGTAGGAGAGATCGCCCTCAATACAAATAACCTCCCCCCAAATATTTCCAATTCTGTTTAAGGTTGTTCTATTCCACAGATTCCATGGGATGCCATAGCAGCATAGCCACACCTTGCGTTCTCTGATTCGAACATGGTCCGGTTTCCACTCCACTATTTCCTCACACCAATCCCCTAACCACTCCTTTATGGTCCCCATACTGGCGTCCCTACACTCCTTAGACGTGAATGTTAGCAACACATCCCTACCTCCTCCATCCCTGACGACGACATTCTGCATACCCTTTTCCTGAATTTCTTTTTGAATTTGGAGGTTGGCATATTCAGGTTTAAGACGAACCACTGCACTCTGATATAGCCATCCATTACCTATTTCCTCTGCCTTGATTGATACAATTCCATCTCCCATGACGCTATTGTTCTTAGTAACCTCTGCATACGAACGGAGTCCTACTGTTGGCTTCCAAACACTGCTCTTTCCACTATATGGAGGACCTCTTGGTTTAGGATGGTATTGGATGTTGTCCTCCAGAGTTACCTTGCCATAATCCGCATGCTTCACTACCAGTTGTTTGTCCTCCACCCATAACCCATTTGCCTTTTTCACAGCTACTTCTGCTGCAACTTCACAGTCATATCGGACAAAAGCGAACCTAGTATTCCTCACTTTCCTTCTCTTCTGAGGAATGTAGACATCCTTTACCACACCAAAGTTCCTGAAAATGTCAATCATCATCTTCACATTCATTGATCTGGGCAGATCATCAACAAATTTGTATGTGGATAGTCGCCGGTTGTTAGTGGGTCCATAAACCTCCAATACACAAGGAAAAACATAGTTAGGACATATTATAAATTGATGACCCTACTTATGACAATATTGTTCAGTACCATATATGCATTATCACAAAAAGGACAATTATAAAACACTCACCATCCTAACATAAAATCAAGGGCCCTTAGTGCAGCAGTGCGGTCTTGTCTTTCTTCTGAGTAAGGTACCATCCAATGTGATACGAGTGTAATTCCAATCTTTCCCTTTTGTGATGCCTGTTTACATTTCCATCATTTGAGTAACTCAAAACTATCTAATATATTTGTATCAAAAATTTATCATATGTAGCAAATCTATTCTTAAACATAAAATTACTTTAGTTTCCATCGACTATGGTTAGGAAGTAGCATTAAAATTAGCATATACTTCAAAACTCTTTGATAATAATGTGAATTATATATGTAGTTTCCTTGGGTTTTCAAGTGAGACCTGATACTTTCGCTTGTACAAATTTACTGCAGTTGCATGAGCGAGAAGTTCGTGGTGTGATACAATATATGGCTCAGTGCTTGAATCCCCACCAGTACAATTTAATTGTAGCCATGAAGAGCATCGACCTGGTGCAGAGCTACCAACTGCGTACCCACTCATGCTATATGACCACGGCTCATTCAAGGTGATCCAGTGCTTCACCCTATCACCAAATTCTTTGAAGCAAAGTTCTGCAAAGCCTTTGAAATCATCCCTATAAAGTCGATCATCAATGTTGGAATATGACACAGGTACATTACAATGTTTTACATATTAACTTCAGGACTTCATGATTAATAATTCAATTCTATGACTACTTCCATTTCTAGGTTACCATCGGATGCTAAAGTCCGACACGGGGTCCTTATTGTGTACTAAGCACAGCAGGATGTGCTGTGGCCTAATACAGCACCGTTTTGCTTTCTTTTCTTTTGTTTTTTTAATCCTATTTTTTGTTTAATTAAAATAACTATGCATTGGTTCCATTTCTCATGAAAGGATCCACATACATGCCACATTTCAACTTTTTTACACAATAGTAAAAGTTTAAATTTACACCACTTTTTTTGGTGCATAATATTATTGTAAATAAAAAAAGAAAAAAGAAACAAGAGTATTTAGAATTCAAAATTTATGAACTATATTCATTTTGAATATACGTTACACCACACTATGTTTAAATTTACACCTACTTTTTTTGTGTAATATTATTAGATATGTAAAAAAAAAAAAATGATATATGTAAAAATTGTATTGAAATTTTAAATTTTTTGAGGCTTTCTTTTTCTTATTAAAATTTCTTAAATTGTCATTAATATGACCCTAATTTTTAATACAGTAAGAAAAATAAATTATAAAGAAAGATTATAAATAGATTAAAAGAAATGTAGTGTACCAAAAGTAATATTTAAAAAAACTATTTGAAATTTATACAAAATTTGAATATGTAGTGTAACTATTTAAAAAAAATAAAATTGTATGGTGTAAATTTAAATTTAGTGTGCGACATTCAAGATAATATGATTTGCACATTTTTAATTATGCATATCTTTTAGTGTATTTTATTAAACTTTAATATAATATAATAAAAAAAGACATTTAATTCCTTGAAAAGTTCAACACATATGATTATTATCAAAATATTAAACTTTAATATAATATAATAAAAAAAGACATTTAATTCCTTGAAAAGTTCAACACATATGATTATTATCAAAATATTAAACTTTAATATAATATAATAAAAAAAGACATTTAATTCCTTGAAAAGTTCAACACATATGATTATTATCAAAATATTAAACTTTAATATAATATAATAAAAAAAGACATTTAATTCCTTGAAAAGTTCAACACATATGATTATTATCAAAATATTAAACTTTAATATAATATAATAAAAAAAGACATTTAATTCCTTGAAAAGTTCAACACATATGATTATTATCAAAATATTAAACTTTAATATAATATAATAAAAAAAGACATTTAATTCCTTGAAAAGTTCAACACATATGATTATTATCAAAATATTAAACTTTAATATAATATAATAAAAAAAGACATTTAATTCCTTGAAAAGTTCAACACATATGATTATTATCAAAATATTAAACTTTAATATAATATAATAAAAAAAGACATTTAATTCCTTGAAAAGTTCAACACATATGATTATTATCAAAATATTAAACTTTAATATAATATAATAAAAAAAGACATTTAATTCCTTGAAAAGTTCAACACATATGATTATTATCAAAATATTAAACTTTAATATAATATAATAAAAAAAGACATTTAATTCCTTGAAAAGTTCAACACATATGATTATTATCAAAATATTAAACTTTAATATAATATAATAAAAAAAGACATTTAATTCCTTGAAAAGTTCAACACATATGATTATTATCAAAATATTAAACTTTAATATAATATAATAAAAAAAGACATTTAATTCCTTGAAAAGTTCAACACATATGATTATTATCAAAATATTAAACTTTAATATAATATAATAAAAAAAGACATTTAATTCCTTGAAAAGTTCAACACATATGATTATTATCAAAATATTAAACTTTAATATAATATAATAAAAAAAGACATTTAATTCCTTGAAAAGTTCAACACATATGATTATTATCAAAATATTAAACTTTAATATAATATAATAAAAAAAGACATTTAATTCCTTGAAAAGTTCAACACATATGATTATTATCAAAATATTAAACTTTAATATAATATAATAAAAAAAGACATTTAATTCCTTGAAAAGTTCAACACATATGATTATTATCAAAATATTAAACTTTAATATAATATAATAAAAAAAGACATTTAATTCCTTGAAAAGTTCAACACATATGATTATTATCAAAATATTAAACTTTAATATAATATAATAAAAAAAGACATTTAATTCCTTGAAAAGTTCAACACATATGATTATTATCAAAATATTAAACTTTAATATAATATAATAAAAAAAGACATTTAATTCCTTGAAAAGTTCAACACATATGATTATTATCAAAATATTAAACTTTAATATAATATAATAAAAAAAGACATTTAATTCCTTGAAAAGTTCAACACATATGATTATTATCAAAATATTAAACTTTAATATAATATAATAAAAAAAGACATTTAATTCCTTGAAAAGTTCAACACATATGATTATTATCAAAATATTAAACTTTAATATAATATAATAAAAAAAGACATTTAATTCCTTGAAAAGTTCAACACATATGATTATTATCAAAATATTAAACTTTAATATAATATAATAAAAAAAGACATTTAATTCCTTGAAAAGTTCAACACATATGATTATTATCAAAATATTAAACTTTAATATAATATAATAAAAAAAGACATTTAATTCCTTGAAAAGTTCAACACATATGATTATTATCAAAATATTAAACTTTAATATAATATAATAAAAAAAGACATTTAATTCCTTGAAAAGTTCAACACATATGATTATTATCAAAATATTAAACTTTAATATAATATAATAAAAAAAGACATTTAATTCCTTGAAAAGTTCAACACATATGATTATTATCAAAATATTAAACTTTAATATAATATAATAAAAAAAGACATTTAATTCCTTGAAAAGTTCAACACATATGATTATTATCAAAATATTAAACTTTAATATAATATAATAAAAAAAGACATTTAATTCCTTGAAAAGTTCAACACATATGATTATTATCAAAATATTAAACTTTAATATAATATAATAAAAAAAGACATTTAATTCCTTGAAAAGTTCAACACATATGATTATTATCAAAATATTAAACTTTAATATAATATAATAAAAAAAGACATTTAATTCCTTGAAAAGTTCAACACATATGATTATTATCAAAATATTAAACTTTAATATAATATAATAAAAAAAGACATTTAATTCCTTGAAAAGTTCAACACATATGATTATTATCAAAATATTAAACTTTAATATAATATAATAAAAAAAGACATTTAATTCCTTGAAAAGTTCAACACATATGATTATTATCAAAATATTAAACTTTAATATAATATAATAAAAAAAGACATTTAATTCCTTGAAAAGTTCAACACATATGATTATTATCAAAATATTAAACTTTAATATAATATAATAAAAAAAGACATTTAATTCCTTGAAAAGTTCAACACATATGATTATTATCAAAATATTAAACTTTAATATAATATAATAAAAAAAGACATTTAATTCCTTGAAAAGTTCAACACATATGATTATTATCAAAATATTAAACTTTAATATAATATAATAAAAAAAGACATTTAATTCCTTGAAAAGTTCAACACATATGATTATTATCAAAATATTAAACTTTAATATAATATAATAAAAAAAGACATTTAATTCCTTGAAAAGTTCAACACATATGATTATTATCAAAATATTAAACTTTAATATAATATAATAAAAAAAGACATTTAATTCCTTGAAAAGTTCAACACATATGATTATTATCAAAATATTAAACTTTAATATAATATAATAAAAAAAGACATTTAATTCCTTGAAAAGTTCAACACATATGATTATTATCAAAATATTAAACTTTAATATAATATAATAAAAAAAGACATTTAATTCCTTGAAAAGTTCAACACATATGATTATTATCAAAATATTAAACTTTAATATAATATAATAAAAAAAGACATTTAATTCCTTGAAAAGTTCAACACATATGATTATTATCAAAATATTAAACTTTAATATAATATAATAAAAAAAGACATTTAATTCCTTGAAAAGTTCAACACATATGATTATTATCAAAATATTAAACTTTAATATAATATAATAAAAAAAGACATTTAATTCCTTGAAAAGTTCAACACATATGATTATTATCAAAATATTAAACTTTAATATAATATAATAAAAAAAGACATTTAATTCCTTGAAAAGTTCAACACATATGATTATTATCAAAATATTAAACTTTAATATAATATAATAAAAAAAGACATTTAATTCCTTGAAAAGTTCAACACATATGATTATTATCAAAATATTAAACTTTAATATAATATAATAAAAAAAGACATTTAATTCCTTGAAAAGTTCAACACATATGATTATTATCAAAATATTAAACTTTAATATAATATAATAAAAAAAGACATTTAATTCCTTGAAAAGTTCAACACATATGATTATTATCAAAATATTAAACTTTAATATAATATAATAAAAAAAGACATTTAATTCCTTGAAAAGTTCAACACATATGATTATTATCAAAATATTAAACTTTAATATAATATAATAAAAAAAGACATTTAATTCCTTGAAAAGTTCAACACATATGATTATTATCAAAATATTAAACTTTAATATAATATAATAAAAAAAGACATTTAATTCCTTGAAAAGTTCAACACATATGATTATTATCAAAATATTAAACTTTAATATAATATAATAAAAAAAGACATTTAATTCCTTGAAAAGTTCAACACATATGATTATTATCAAAATATTAAACTTTAATATAATATAATAAAAAAAGACATTTAATTCCTTGAAAAGTTCAACACATATGATTATTATCAAAATATTAAACTTTAATATAATATAATAAAAAAAGACATTTAATTCCTTGAAAAGTTCAACACATATGATTATTATCAAAATATTAAACTTTAATATAATATAATAAAAAAAGACATTTAATTCCTTGAAAAG